TGAAAAAAATGAAAGAAGAAACAACAACAGCTTCTAATCTCTATCCTGTTTGTCTCCTCACTCAAAAATGGGCCTTATTTCCCTATATATTTAGGAGATAAAGAAGAAAAATATATCCACCAATCAGAAGCCAGCACGTGAATTCGATTGGACCAATAGGAGCGCAGGGTTTGAACTCTATTTAAAGCTTCCCGCGTCGGTTGGCGTCACCAGATCCAACATGGCGGTTCGAGGGGAAAAAAGAAGGGCGGGAAGCGCAATGTTTTTCCTCGTTTTTACTCTCGCTCTGGTAAGATTTTTACTGTTTTTCGAAAGTTTGGATGTTTCATTTGTTTTTTTTTTTCTGTTGTTGTTGTCTTATTATATAATTGCTTGGATGTTTTTTTGTCGGTGTATTTTTTTTCTTTTTTTTTTTTTTTTTTTGGGGGGGAGGGGCGTGCTTGAGTTCCTGACGTCTTTTTTATATATTGGAATGTTTTTTTCTGTATATTGGAAGGGCTCTTTTAGTCAAAATCAGGGAAACTGCATTTAATTTTAGTCAAACGGGAAAATCAAGGTAAACTTTCAGTGAATTTTAGTCAAAGGGAAATTCCAGTCGATTTCAGTCAAAAATCAGAGAAATTGTTGTGAACCGCCAATAAAATCAGGTAAATTAGAGAAAAAATTTATTCGAAAACAGGAAATTATAATGAATTCTAAGTCAAAATTAGGGAAATTTTTGTGAACCTCCAATAAAATCGGGGAAACTAGAGTAAATTTAATTCGAAATCAGGGGTATTATAGTGAATTTTAGTCAAAGTCAGGGAAATTATAGTGAACCTTTAAGAAAATCAGGGAAATTACGGTGAATTTTAGTCAAAATCAGGGAAATTACGGTGAATTTTAGTCAAAATCAGGGAAATTATAGCGAACCAAAGTCGAAATCAAATTTTTGTAAGGTAAATAAACATTTAGTAGAAAAAAATATATATTTATGCTTACCTTATATTCTTTTTTTAAACCATTATAGTGAACTAAGACAAATCAGATTTTAGATAGGAAAGTAAATATTTAGTAAATAATAATAAAATATATATATATTATATATCATACTTTTTAAAAATCCTTTCCACTAATTCGCAATATATAAAAGTCAGTCTTTTTTTTTCTTTCTTTTTCTTTTTCTTCGATGAAACTGAACTATATTTTTCAGCCGTCTAGATACGTTTTCTGGAAATACGTATAAAAAAATATTGATAAGTAAAATTGATTCTAATCACGCCAATTTTATTGTTCTTCTCGAATTCGCCGCTTTCTTTTTCTGTGAAAGAAAATAATATAACAATAAGGCCGGACCAGAGCCAGTACAGGAGGTTCTGCTTTCCCAAACCTGTAAATATTGCCACTATCTGAGACCCGTGCTGCCGAAAGCCAATCAGAGAGCTTCTTTGTAGTCACGTGATAGACGACAACCAATCAGGAGGCGTCTCGTCTTTCAAAACAATACGGGGCCTTTTTTGTGCGCTGTTGTACGTCACTCTTAACTCCAGAACTTAAATTAGGTTTTAAACTATAAGCTCAGTTTGGTTAAGAGTTTAGTTAGAGTTTATAGAGCATGTAGACAGTAGAGAAGATCGATGTTTTCTTTGTAAAACTGAAAGTTTGCATGCCAAAGACGACAACAAAATGACACTCCAAACTTTTGTTGTTGTACGGCTGTGTTTGTTTGGTAAGGGTTCTCTGTTTTTTTTTTTTATTTTGTTACTGGCTTATTAAACTTTGGATTGACATCATACAAAACAAAATTACACTAATAGTAATAATTACAACCCTTAGATTCAGTCAAAAACAATGTCCCTTTTTCGGAATTGTTGGAATAGAACAAAGGACGGGATTCATTCATAAAACGTGCCACAAAAAGCTGGAAACTTGAATGATCTTGTAATTCTTTATGTTCTGCAAACCCATATCTTCTACCCCATACTTTTTGCAAATATTTTTTTTTCCATTTCGCTTCATATTTTTTTTTTTATTAAAATAAATGAAATGAAAATAAATGAAAATAAAAACAACCATAAACGATAAATAGAAACAAAAAATAAACAAATTCGGAAACAAAGAACAATAGATAAGAATAGAAAAAAAAATATAAATAAAATAAATAATAAAAAAAAATGATTAATAGATCAAAATTACAAATAATAAATAAATACAATAATTAAAAAATAAAAAATAAAAATAATTATTAGATCAAAATTACAAAGAACAAATAAATACAATAAATAAAAACATAAAAATATATAAATAATTATTAGATCAAAATTACAAAGAATGAATAAATAAAATAAACAAAAAATAGAAATAAAAAAAATAAAAAACAATTATTAGATCAAAATCACAAATCATAAATAAATACAAAAATTAATCTCTTTTTCAAATTGTCTTTTCTTCCAGCTCGGAGGATCCTGCTCTGCTCAAAGCCTCCTGGATCCTATACCTCGTCAGTGTAGGAATCTGGTAAGTAGAAGGAATTGGGAAGGAAGAGTAAGAGGAAATGGAAGATAAAGGGAGGAAGAGGGAGAATCGAGGAGAAAAGAAATTGATAAAGGGGAGAAAAGGAGGGAAAGGAGGAAAAATGATGATAGAGTAAGGGGGGGAAATAGAGAAAAAGATAAGATAGAGAAAGAGAGAATGAAAGAAAAAAAAGAAAAACAAATAAGAAGAATACATAAAAAAAAGAAAAAAAATTTCTTGTCATAATATCCACTTCCAAACAGAGAAAACTAAAAAAAAAAAAAAAAAAAAAAAAAAAAAAAAAAAAAAAAAAAAAAAAAAAAAAAAATTTACACGCTAACGATACCAACCTCCTTTTACAGGGAGACGTCGAGGTGGACAGCTATACCAAGTCCCCTGCCAGAATGAACGAGTACCCTGCTGGTGGAGTAAGTCCCTTTCCCTCTATTTAAGTTCCAATTATCTATTTACTGGTATGAATTTATAACCTCTCTGACAGGGATTCGAACCCCCACCGCCATTGCAAAGAAATTCACAAGACGGGCACTCTATCCACTGATACACGACCCAACAAAAATCGAATCTGTCAGAGAGGTTATAAATTCATGATATCAAATGCGGCCAGTGCATTATTCCATCTTTCATTTACCGGTATGTTTACAGGGTATTCCCGAGTGTTGAAATAGGATATTGTTATGAAATGTATCACGTTTTTGCACCTTTACCAGTGATATTATGAGCCATAACACCTAACATAGCTTATAACACGTTAGCTTGTGCCCTTAATAATAACAATAATATCAAAAACTAACACAGTACTTGTATTTTCCCTCATAACAGCAATACTACAACCCATAACACATACCTTTATATCCTCATAACACTGATAGATCTTATAACACACACTATTACACTAAAACTCACACTACCACACCTTGTTCTTCGATGCCAGTGATAATAACATTGTAATTACTGACACTACTAACATTTCCTTCCCACTAACGACAATACTAACTTCCTAACTTATAACTTCCTAATACTAACTTATCTACTTGTACTGCCATCCTCTTCCTGAGCAGATCATCATAACACTAGTAGTATTAATCGCAACACATCCTCATAACTTTGATAATACTTGAAACACATACCCTACAACACTAAAATCTATACTACACCGTCTTCTATAATACTACTAACAGTGCCATACTGATAGTGTAATACTAATACTACTAACAGTGCCATACTGATAGTGTAATACTAATACTACTAACAGTACCATACCGATAGTTTAATACTAATATTACTAGAGGTGCTGTTACACTGCTATACTCATAGTACAAACACTTCCTTCTTAATGGCGTAAATACTACTCCTTAACTCCAAAATACTACTCCTTACTTGCCTTAACTCCTAAATACTAGTCTTAACTTACCCTTAACCCTAAATACTACTCCTTAACTATACCTTAACACCTCAATACTACTTCACTTACCTTAACTCCTAAATATTACTCCTTAACTTACCTTAACTCCCAATACTACTTCAACCTACCTTACCTCCTCAGTAATACTCCTTGACACCTAAATACTACTCCTTAAGTCCAAAATACTACTCCTTAACTCCTCTCAACAGTGCCACCCTCTCTCCCTGTACAGATCCTGATGACGCTGGCACGCATTCCAGCTGACTTGAAAGGCACCTTCGAGTTCTACCTTTGCCCTGAAGAAGGAAATACCCAGCAGGAGGAGTGTCTGTTCAGGTGAGGTCTTGGATGTGTGTGTGTGTGTGGAATGGGGGGGGGGTGAGAGGAGGGGGTATGTGGGAGGGGGTGGGTTTGTGTGGGGGATGAAGAGGAAGGGGAGGGTGTGTGTGTGTTTATGTGGGAGAGAGGGATGTGTGTGGTGTGTGGAGGGAGGGGGAGATGGAGGGGGAGAGGTGTTTGTGTGGGAGAGGGGGTTGAGTTGTGTGGGGGAGGAGGAGGGGTGGGGTGTGTGTTTATTGCGAGAGAGGGGTGAGTTTGTGTGTGAGCGGAGAGGGGGAGGATGTTGTGTGTTATATGGGAGAGGGGTGAGGAGAGTGTGTGTGGGGTGGGAGGGAAGGGTGTGTGTGTTTATGTGGAGAGGGGATTGGGTTTGTGTGTGGGGAAAAGGGGGTGGGTTGATTTTGAGTGTGTGTAGGGAGGGGAGAGTGTTGGCGTGGGGGAGAGATAGTGTTGTGTGGGGGGGGTCGGTATATGGGAGAGTGTGTGTGGTGGGGGGGGGTGAGTCTGTATGTGGGGAGGATTTTGTATGTGTGAGGTGGATGAGGATGTCTGTATGTGTTCATGTGCGTGCGTTTCTTGATGTGCTGTCTCACCCAGTTTATCAACTGGCTTTCCTGTTTTTTCCGATCTTATCATTCCATCATCATATCAACATTTTTTTATTTCATTATCATCCTATCATTATCATTAATATTTATGATCATTATTGTTATCTACTTTATCTTATTATGCATATGTTCTTTATTGTTTTGTTGTTATTATTGTTTTTTTTTTGTTGATTTTCATTCTCACTTTCTCCTTCCCTCCCCACCCTCTCGCCCACTACCGACCTCTTTCCCTCCCTCCCCACCTTTCCTCCACCCACCCTCTCACCCTCCCCTCCCTCTCTCCTCCCTCCCCTTCTCTCCCTCCCGACCTCTCTTCCTCCCTCCTCTCTCCTCCCGACCCTCTCTTCTCCCTCCCCACCCCTCTCACCTTCCCTCCTCCGCCCCCACCCTCCGCCTCCCCTCCCACCCCACCCCACCCTCTCATCCTCCCACCCCTACCTTCTCCCCCTCCCCCCCTACCTCTCTCCCTCCCCCTTACCCTCTCTTCACCTCTCCCCCACCCCTACCTCCTTCGCCTCCTTCACCCTCTCCCTCCTTCCCTCCCCACCACCCCACTACCCCATAACAGGATCCCCCTCCAGTTGGCCGACGTTCGGGACGCAGTTCAAGATGGACCAGATCCGCGAGGCGATTCCTACGAGATCCCCCTGATGCTGCCCGACGAAGTGACCTGTGATGATTGCGTCCTGCAGGTGAGGGGGGGGTAGGGTTCTGGGTCTCTCGCTCGCTCTTCTCTCGGTCGTTCTTTCTTTCTCTCTCTCTCGGTTCGTTCTTTCTTTCGCTCCGCTCTTCTCCTCGCTCGGTCGCTCTTTCACTCGCTCTTCTCTTCTCTCTCTCTCGTTTCTTCTTTTCTTTCTCTCTCGCTCGTGGCTCGCTCGCCTCTCTCTTTCTTTTTTTTTTCTCTCTCTCTCTCGCACTTTCTCTTTCTGTTTTCTTATTTTTTCTCTATCTATCTATCTGTATAATCTCTCTTTCTCTCTCTCTCTCTCATCTATCTATCTCTATCTCTATCTCTCTCGCTCTCTCTCATCTCTCCCTCTCTCCTTCCTTCCTCCACCCCCTATCTCTTTATCTCTCTCTCGCTTCTTCTTTCCTTTCTTCATTCTCACAGAAAGACATAATATATATTTATAATATATATAAATCTAAATACATTTCACCTCCTGAACTTCAAAAAACACCGAAGATAGATAGATAACAGATAGATAAAAGAAGTTTACCACCAGCCCCTAACTTCCCGGAACCCACAGTGGCGTGTCGTGACTGAGAACTGTCAGGATGTCAGCGACTGTGACATCGTGGACGAGACTTTCTGCGCTGGACGTCAACATCCGGGAAGTCAAGTGAGTTCCTGAGGTCCCGGATGAGCTTCGGCGTCGTGGGGGAGGGGGGGAGAGAGGGGGAGAGGGAGGAATGGTTGGATGTGTGTGTGTGGTGTTGTGTGTGTGTCTGTCTGTCTGTTGTATTGTGGTGTGTATGCATGTATGTCTGTCTGTTTGTATGTGTGTGTGTGTATGTATGTGTATGCATGAATGTATGTATGCATGTACACACACACGCATTTAGACAAACATACGCCAACATAAATATGAAAATCGATATATGAAGAAACATACGCACAGTTGTGTGTATTTGAAATATAATCCATATATATATATTGATGAACCAGTTACCACAGTCATATATAATCCTTAATAAGAACTTTATTATGATTTACAGAGAAAACGACAAGAGATTTTTCCACTTGCTGTTTAACGCACTTTTTGGCAAATGAACTGACTAACTGGAGACATGACTGAGTGAGGTGAATGAGGTACTAACTGGCTGGAGAGAAAATGGAAGTGACGGCAAATAAAATGACTTATCATAGATCTGACTGAGAGAGGTGACTGACTGGATTGAAAGTAAAGGGAAGTGACTTAGGAAAATTGATTGACTGGAGACATGACTGAGTGAGGTGACTAAGTACTGACTGACTGGAGAGTAAAGGGAAGTGATTTAGCAAATTAACTGATTGATTTG